AATAAAATATTATAATATATTTCAGTTTAAAAGCATATGCTATAATTCTGTAAAAATAAAATTTGTAACATTAGCTTTAATGAAATTTATAAATTTTTAGGAAATAAAGCACACAGAATAATAATAAAAAAAATAATAAAATAAAAAATAAATTTTAAATAATATTTTAATTAATAAATAATATTTTAATTTAGTATTTGGTTCACAAACGTTTCCGACTTTAGATTTCAACAGGCTTGACTTCTAATTCCCAGGTAAAATTAATTGTTTTTTGTACTGCTTATACATGGCTGTTTTGTTGAGAAGCAGTTGGTATTACCACTGCGACTGAGCATTGCGAAGTTAAATCTAAGACTGTGAGTTTCGATGGAAGAGGTCCCGATTTTTATACTAGTTTAGAGACACGCATACATGCATATTCAACGTATTTGTTTCTATGTGTAAGTGTACAAATACATCAGCACACACTCCAGACTACAGTTATATGTATCAAAGTGGTAAACGAAATCAGCGTTGACCAGTGCACTGTGGGGTAAATGACCACAAAAGTGTTCAAATTAGAAAAATATTATATTATATCAATGCATTTACAAAATCTCAAGCTCAATGTTAATGCTTAACAGTTCATGTTAACATAACAGCTGTAAAGTCAGCATGTGCATCCGAAGCCGTTTGCTAAATTTACATTTGTTTGTCAGTCAACTTTGATATTTAATTATTTGCGGTGCGGTGTAGTGGTGGATCTATCAAACACATAAGGAGATATTGGTGGCCGAATTTGGTACTACTAGTTTTAAAGGTGTCTGTAATATTCAAGTTCTTCCCATTTTTTTTAGCGATAGAGGGGATGCCACGTCAACTTTTCTTTATCCCCCCATACTAACATAATACAAAAAAGCACAATAAAAAATCTCAAATGTTTTAGTCGTAACATTTAATGCCAGTTAAATTTGTGTTTAAGATATTATATGCCCATACCAACATAGGAACCTAATATATACATATAGTTACATAAATGTCTAACAGATACACAAATTGCAGAGGGTCTCGTCATCTGCTTTTCGCATTTGTTTTCTCGAATTCTGAATTGGTCACTGAATACCCTTAATATTAGCAAAACGGAATATCTACTTACTAAAGGTTTATTACGGGAATTCAATTAAAATTATAGTTTAGTATTTTATAACCGTATAATGAAAAAGGCAGTGATGAAATTTATGTAAATATTAAAGTGTTTATTTTTGAAGCTTTATTACGGGGGCTTAGTAATATTGATTGTGCTAGGACATAAAAGCAAGCAACCACTTAGAATCCATGCTTCTTTGCTAAGTATATGTATATTAGCTCTTTAGAGTATTTTTCAGTCGACGCACAAAACTTCTTCTTGCTTAAAACTGAAGGTGAATATGGTGAAGCAAGTGCTGAATTTCCCGAATAACATTTAACCCTTAAGGCGTATATAAATAATATTTCTTAGTTGCCTTGTTCACACTCATAACTTAATTTCAGAATTAAAAGCTTAAACAAAAACAAATGTAGCAAAAACAGTTGGTTTTAATTTATTAAAAGTAGAACAATAAAAAATATACCAAGCTTTTTACTTTATAGGCACATGCACAATCTAAGGGTTGGGTCAAATACTAAATATTGGAATAGAAGATATTTTTTAAGCTTATGTAATATCTTCATCATCTTTTATTATTATTAATTATTATTTACAGTAGTCAATGGAAAATTGGTTATCGATGTGTGATTATAGCTTCAGTTCCCATCGCTTATTTACAGTAAAGAGCGCCTTTTTTGTAAGCTCTTAAAAACCAAGAAAACTGAAAAATGAATTGAAAATTAAACATCCGCGGGGAAAGAAATGGTGCATTAAGATGGAAGCATCACCAGCCGAAGTCGCACCAGAACTTAAGATTTCTAGAGAAGTGGGAGGAAGAAGAAGCCGGGAGCAGAAGAAAAGCCGATTAATTGCCCTTCTTGACTTCATCCTGAAAATCCAACGTCCAACAGTATAGATTAAACACACTCAGAGTGTACGTATAGGTACTTGTGCTCAGGTTGCCTTTAAAAATTACCAAATACTAAGAGTTCGTTTTATTAAGATAAGTTATAATACTGATTGTTACAATTAAAGACAACGTGTACGAGCGTAATCGCTGTAACTGCACCACTGCAAGCGAATACGGAGAGAGCACGCACGCTGTCTACAGGCTTATTATATCCAAGCGGCAGATCACAAAAACATCAGTGGAGTACCCAATGCCCGTCCCCCGACCCCTACAACATAACTAACGATATGCTTTTAACAACAACGACCAGCAAAATGGCCTCGTTGAAAACGGTGACTTCGACACTAACGACGACAACAACTGCAGTTTCTGTTTCTTCAGCTTTTACTGACAAGCTAACCCCTACCCAACCCAGAAATACAAAAAATGTTAGCGGATAATTAATACAAACAGGAATCGATCAATATGTGCAAATAAAAAGAACTTTAAGCCCACAAGCAGATAAAAAACAAGAGGAAACGCTATAGTCGAGTGCCGTGACTATAAGATACCCGTTACTGTTTTATGCAATTTTAAGAAATTCATTTTGCTAGTCTAAATTCACAAAGCACTACCTATTGTCGGAGAAAGCATGTTGAGTAACTGATAGCTCAACCGTCTTCGCTCAAGAATATATGTATATACTTTATAGGGTCGGAAACGATTCCTTTTACATAACTGTTACACACTCTTCAACGAATCTAATATAACTTTTAATCTACGAGTAACGGGTATAAAAACCGTTGATGACAGAAGACTGACACATTTTCTGCCAGGAATGTGGGCTCATCCCTCCAAACCTAAATATATAAATAAAAGTCTCTTATCCATTCTATTCTGTCTCAGTTGTGATTAATTATATGTCGTGTGAGCGAAATTATGTGAAATAAAATAGTTACAAAAGAAACTCACTTTTGAATGTACTTGCCATGCCCTTTTCGTTTTTGGTTCGATCGTGGAGTATTAAAATAATAAACCACGAGTAAATTACAAGTTTTGCGTTTTATTCAATATAAAATCATACTAAATTTTTAGAATCTTTACAAAAATACTCGATGCGGAAACTAATGGAATAAAAGTTTAAGCCACTTGAATGCGTACACATGTTTTAGAATGACTGTGAGAGTTTTAAGTCGCTAGCTCTTAAACTGAGCTCGCAAACGGTATTGAAACAGACGGACATGGCTATATCGGCTCCCCTATTGGTCCTGATCAAGAATATATATACTTTGTGGGGTCGGAAACGTCTCCTTCACTGCGTTACAAACATCTGACCAAAATAATAATACTCTCTGCAAGAGTATAAAAAACTAAAAACATCAAATAACATCAAAGGAATACGAGTATGTGAAGAAAAAATGGACAGTATTATCAATCGGGAGGCTTTATATTTGGTTGCAAGCATGCAAATCCGTTGGCTAAGAGTTATCAAAGCAATAGGAGGTCCAACGTTATATTAAGAATTACTACATTTTTTTAACTAATATATTTTATGTTATTATTTTTATATAGTTTAAATAAACTTTATTTAATAACATATTGTGTGTTTTTTTTTTAAGTTAATCATTGCTCTGTATATTCATATTACACGCTACATTTTCGCTTGTAAGAATATTATTTCTAGTGCCCAATTTAAAATCTGCACTCCACTTGATACACGTCTAGCCATTGCGACGGTCTAATAAAGACTAAGTCTGAAGCAGTGTTGCCACTTTAGCTTATTATAAGCTAGTTCTGGCATATTTTGAATTGGAAAGGGCTTGAAAACTTGGAGTTGTGAATGTTAATAAAGCGAGTGGTAAAATGCCGAAAGTCCAATATAAACAAATTTTTCGCGATGCTTGGATCCAAAGTAGTGAGTTCAAGGCGTGGTTACGCAAACTGTCCGGAGACAAGAGTTTATTGCTCATATTGTAAGTCAACAATTTCAGCAAAAATCTTTGAAACAAGGCAGCAAGCGGCAACAAAGAACCACGTGCTAGAATGGGCTCAATTGCACAATCTCAGAAAATAAGTTTCCCTGCAAAATGTTGCAAAACAGAGGAGCAGGAAGCAGCCCATTCAATGGAAATTTAAGGACTTAATCATGAAAATAGCCCCCAATGACTATTATCACCCACATTTGGTTTTTTAGCTTTTTTTTTAAATTTTAGCTTATTCTAGTTTATTTTTTCACAAATCTAGCTTATGCGTGCGCTCATCACCTGGCAACACTGGTCTGAAGGATCTTGGTCATTTTTGGCGGACTGCTGATTATGACATTCGAAATCATTCCTGGTTTAGCTGTTTCAAATATTGAAACGGTTATCAGCTGGCACATGTTTAAAACCTTTTAAAAATCTACTTTTAGGCTAAAATAATTTTTGTTACTGCATTTGCTTGTGTATCGTTTGGTCAACTTGTTTACTTGTTCTTTTTTAACATGAGTCAGCTCACTAGCACACTTATTTATTGCTAAGTTGAGCAAAAACAGTTGTATTTTTACACGTTCTGCAAGATCAGCGAGCACAGCTGATTTACAGTAGAACGGAATTGAAAAACCGGGCAAGAACAATGAACAGTAATAAAAAGGAATAAGTTCACTCGCTCAGTTTAGTGAATATTTAACTCTCATTTGTTTAAGCTTAATTAACGCAATTTAATGGTAACGCAATATGTTTACTGATTACACCAGTGATATACTGATGGCGATTAAAGCTAATTTTACATACATATACATATGACAGTTTTAAATATTGTGTTATTTCTTCTTCCATGTTTACGGTTGTCTAACGGTGCACCCATTTTCATTAGACAAAATCGAAAGCTCAATATAAACTGTTTCAGAAAAGTTATAAATGTGCAAATGTTATAAAAAGAAATTTAGAATTAATATAACAAATTATCAGAGAACAGGGTTGGGATCTTTGCTAAAACTAGTATTAAACGGCATACCGTAACATATACACGGTATAATTTAACAGACATGCAACGGTCACACTGTTTGTGGCCTCTGCCAAATTTTTAATAAAATTTATTAACTAAAAAATTCAGCCGAACCGAGCTATTAAAATCAAAAAGGTTTGTAACTTCCAAAGCAGTGGTATATATGTATATAGTCGTAAAGTAAGGTCTGATAATCTCCCGAAAACGAAGTGTGTGCAAAAAGTGCATAATAACCGGCGTCATATATTTACGACCATAATTCGAACTTCACCCAAAAGAAGTCAGTTGAAATATATATCGATATCTCTTTTTTTCTTATTCTCATACATCATTGAACGGTTTCTTGAACGCTTTATTGAACGGTAAGTTAAATGCATCCTAAGTGCATCTACCAGGGACTTGAGGTTGTCGGCAGTAGTTTTTCTTTTACGACTGACGTGTACATAAACTTAACAGTTAGAGTGAGGAGCAACAAAAGCAAACAAAAGTAAAAGCTGCAGCAAATTATCTGATAACTAACGCATTTCCAATAACCCCTAAATTTTCAGGTAAAGGACCAGGACAAAGCGACCATGCGAATCGCTCTGGGAATTGCGACCATCATCTGGGCACTTTTCGTCCTGGCCGATGGAGTTGATCCTGGGAACTTCAAGACTTGCGAGCAGAGCAGTTTCTGCCGGTAAGTTTAGATATCTGCGTGGAAGCATCGTAGGTGTAGCCAACTACATAGTATTGTACTATATTGGTGTCTAGGTATATGAACAAATGTAAAAATCTAAAAACGACAATTACCAGAAGTCTGTTCATATGTCGCAGATCTTGTAGTTTATAGGAACTGGATTCAGGTACTCCTAGTAATTGTTACTTTTCTTAAGCTAAAACTATTTCTAAAGCGTTTTATGCCAGCCTATTGGCATATACGTACAGTAGATCCAAGCTTATTTCGTGCAAGAAAAAATCGAAGTTTATGTTTGATACTGCCACTAAACCAGCAGAGATATCAAAAAAATTTAAACGCCGTAATGTTAAGAATGTCGCATATTCTTAAAATAATAATAATAATTTTCTAATTTAAAAAACAAAAGAATTTTTCATACAAAAACTGAAAAATAGGGAAATTCTGACGCACAAGCTTATTTCGTGCAAGGACTTTAATGGTAAATAACTCTAAACTACGACTTTTAAATCCATTTTTTTTTCTTAATACTAGTAAAACTATATTAACAAAAGCATATTTATAAGTTTTCGAGGCTGGGGGCACCCAAAAATTACGGATTAACGAGGATTTTCAAACTATGGCGCCACGAACAACTATTGAGCAAAGCGAATTAGTCCTTAAACATTTTAAGGATGGAAAAACCCAGGAAATGGTTGCCTCAAGCCCATACATAACCCTAACGCTTTTTTGCGAAAATCGGGTGGCAGATAAGGGCCGTGATGCACCGAACAACATTTTTAATGACCAAGAGGAGAGACGTATTGTCCGAAAAGTGAAGGAAAACCTCAAGGTATCGGGTCCTAAAATAGTTGCGGAGATTGAGAACGAAATTGGCAAAAAATATTGCCCAGGTACAGTTCGGAGCACTTAGCATAACCAGCGTTTAAATTTTTTTGATATCTCTGCTGGTTTAGTAGCAGTATCAAATATAAACTTCGATTTTTTCTTGCACGAAATAAGCTTGGATCCACTGTATGTACTTATTTGTTTCAATTATAACTGAAGTACACTAAAGCCCGTAGATAGTAATATAAGCTCTTATGCTTTAAACTATGTTGTATTCATTCATGGTTCGCATTGGCGTTCCTTTTTTTGATAACAAAATAATTTCGTCACCTGTAAACCTGGTATTTAATATTTAAACTACGGCAGGACAAATTTTATGCTTGGACACGTTTTGTTTTCAAAATTAATGTATCTCTATCTATTTTTTGACACTAAAATATTAATAAGAACTCAGCATATCAACGATTTGAAAAATATTTGTTCTTTGTTTTATAATTTTCGTTCAGTTTTCACCACATTCCCCCTGTTTTTCGTTGTAAATTAAACTTAACGAATCGCATTTTCCACAAAAGCAAGAAAATTTCTTGTGTTTCCATTTTGACATAAAATTAAAAACTTTTTATGGCATATTAATACATAAATAGACCAATCGATTCCTTGCCAAATATACTTTTACAAATTTTAGTCTATCTTTTGGAAATTTATTAAATTATTAATTTTCGTTCTATAATTAATCTTTGATTACTATATTCTATATATTACAATATTCTATTCTGAAATTGTAAAATTATTGCAAATATAACCACAAAAAACACATACATTAAGCCAAGTTCGTCTGTCTGTCTGACCGTATGAACGCTCAGATCTCAGGAACTATACGAGATACACAGTTGACATTAAGCAGGCAGGATCCCACGCAGCGCAAGTTTATTTCACCATCCGGCCAGGCCCATTCTAACACTCATAAATCACGAAATCTTAAAAACCATTAGAGCTAGAATGTTGGGATTAAGATGGCAGTGCATCTTAAGGTGAAACCACTTTCCGGCCACGCCCACTCTTACGCCCACCAAGCTCGAAAGACGGTTTTTGCTTTTTGTAGAAACGCTGAGATCTCGGTAAATCTAAGTTATTGAAAGTTGGGATTAAGCATGTAATTTCTAATGATGACCTCAATGTATATTATTTTCACACCATCTGGCCAGACCCACTCTAACGCCCAAAAACCCCGAAAAATCATAAATGCGAATATCTCGGGAACTATAAGAGAGCTAGAAAGCTATGCTTAACCATACGTATTCTAGAGATGACAGTGCAGCTCGACGTGATTTTTCATCTGGCCACGCACACAAACCGCGGAAATCGGAACATTATTTCACTATTTATGGAGAAATATAGGATTTAAGGATCACATGGACAGTGACGCTACCATCAGTTAATAAACATGCTTTTTTGACAAAAGGTGGCGCTTTGTCCAGTTCCACTAGCAAAATGAATATATTAAAAGTGTCGTCTAGTCGCGGCACTCTTCTATAGCATTTATTTTTGTTTATATTTATACTTTGTAGTATGAATTCTCGCAAATAATCACATATGTGTTTTTTAGACGTTCCCGAAAGGTCCAGAGCGCGGGCAGCAAGTATGCCCTGATTCCGGGCACCCTGAACACATATGCGGATTCGCTGACTGCCGATCTAGTGAACAAGGAGAACCACCACCAGTTTGCCTTTAAGTTGGAGGCACTGGAAGGCAGCACTTTCCGTCTCCAGATTGATGAGAAACAGCCACTCCGGCCTCGTTATCGCGTTGAACACGCGCTCAAGGGTCAACCCCAGGCAGGACGCATTCGTGTCCAGAGGGAAACCGACGGAGAGATCGTTATCACATCAGATAAAAATAAAGCCGTAATCCATGGCGATCCTTTCCGCATCGATTTCTACGAAAACGACGTTCTGGTGGTCTCAGTAAATGCCAAGAACTGGCTTTATTTCGAGCATCTGCGTCAGAAAGCCCAAGAGCAGACTCCCGAGCCCGCAGGGAACGAGAACCAGCAGGAACAGGATGCCGCTGTAGAAACGCCCAAGGCTGCTATCGATGATCCCGGTGCCTGGGAGGAGAACTTCAAGTCTCACCATGACTCCAAGCCCTACGGCCCGGAAGCAGTAGCTTTGGACTTTTCGTTCCCTGCCGCCGAAGTTTTGTTCGGCATTCCTGAACACGCCGATAGCTTCGTACTAAAATCCACCTCGGGTACGGATCCTTATCGTCTGTACAACCTAGATGTGTTCGAGTACATTGTGGATAGCAAGATGGCCCTGTATGGCACAGTGCCGGTGATCTACGGTCATGGGTGAGTTATGTTATTAAGCTATAACTAAAACTGTAGTATAATTTTATTGTTATTCTGTAAAACATAGTAAAATAGGTCTTTTTAAACCAGTCATTACCATTTGTATATAGGATAGGTAAATAGGATTAGGAAGTCGACCAACTTACCTAAAATTTAGAATATACGACTTAAGCAGTTTAAAATACATTTTTTATGATCAATATTTAAAAAAAAAGTTTTTAGTTTTATATGAATGAATTTATTATGATGATGAATTTAATATGAATACCTCCTGACAGGATATAAAACACAAATCCATGACTAATTCTGTTTTTCCCTTCAGGACACATCGCACTGCGGGCGTTTACTGGCAAAATGCCGCAGAAACCTGGGTAGACATCCAAACCTCGGAAACCAATGTCGTCTCTTCATTGGTTAACTTTGTTTCTGGCTCTCGAAAGACTCCTCCGCCGGCTGCCCATTTTATGTCCGAGTCGGGTATCGTGGACGCCTTTATCCTGCTGGGTCCCAAGCCGATGGACACCTTTAAGCAGTACGCTGCTCTGACGGGTACCCACGAACTTCCTCAAATATTTGCTTTGGCCTACCATCAAAGCCGTTGGAACTACAACGATGAGAGGGATGTGACCTCCGTATCAGCAAAATTCGATGAGTTCAACATACCAATGGACACCATGTGGCTAGATATTGAGTACACCGATGGCAAACGTTACTTTACCTGGGACAAGTTTAAGTTCCCCCAACCGCTGACAATGATCAAGAACCTCACAGAGCTTGGTCGCCATTTAGTCGTGATCATCGACCCGCATATTAAAAGGGATAATGGATACTTCTTCCACCAGGAGTGCACGGATCGTGGTTACTATGTGAAGACGCGTGACGGCAATGACTACGAAGGTTGGTGCTGGCCGGGAGCAGCAAGCTATCCAGACTTCTTCAATCCCGTGGTCAGAGAGTACTACGCCAGTCAGTACGCACTGGATAAGTTCCTAACAGTCACCGCAGACGTTATGCTGTGGAATGACATGAACGAACCGTCAGTGTTCAACGGCCCAGAGATTACGGCCCCTAAAGATCTGGTGCACTTTGGCAATTGGGAGCACCGCGATGTGCACAATTTATACGGTCACATGCATCTTATGGGCTCATTTGCAGGCCTGCAGCAACGTGATCCTAATCAGCGACCGTTCATCCTTACACGTGCCCACTTTGCTGGATCCCAACGGTTTGCTGCTATTTGGACTGGTGACAACTTTGCGGACTGGACGCACCTACAGCACTCAATCAAGATGTGTCTCACGGAGGCGGTGGCTGGATTCTCCTTCTGCGGCGCCGATGTCGGTGGTTTCTTTGGAAATCCTGATGCTGAGCTGCTGGAGCGCTGGTATCAAACAGGTGCCTTTCTACCATTCTTCCGGGCTCATGCTCACATCGATACCAAGCGTCGGGAGCCGTGGCTTTTCCCGGAACGTACTCGCCAGGTGATCCAGAACGCAGTGCTAAAACGCTACTCCTACCTGCCCTTGTGGTATACCGCATTTTACGAGCTGGAGCTGACGGGTGCGCCAGTTATCCGGCCATTGTTGGCACACTATCCGCTAGATAAGAATGCTTTCGGCGTAGACAGTCAGCTACTGGTTCAGGATCGCTTGCTTGTGAGTCCCGTCATGCAGCAGGGCGTCAGCAAAGTGAATGTCTACTTCCCGGTGATTGATGAGAAGAGTAATGGTGACTGGTGGTACGATATAGATACTTATCAGCGCCAGGAACAATCCGGCTATGTTTCTATCCCTGTGGATGAAAACAAGGTTTGAAAGCTTACTTTATTTCCAAATTGTGAACTAGTTTAGATAGTTTATGCCTTTAATATCCCTCCTATAGATCCCCGTGTGGCAGCGAGGAGGCAGTATTGTTCCAAAGAAGGAGCGACAACGTCGCGCCTCCACCTTGATGTTGCACGATCCGTACACACTGATCGTCTGTCTGGACAAGCAAGGCAAGGCAGCAGGTTCCCTATATCTGGACGATGAGAAATCCTATGCCTACCGTCAGGGCCAACGCATCCACGTGAACTACGAGTTCGCCAATAGTCAACTGGTCAATCACTTCGTGGGCAAGCCCAAGTACAAGACCGATGCCTGGATCGAAAGGATCGTGATCGCTGGACTGGATAAAATGCCAAGCAGTGCCAGCATCACGGTGAATGGCGTTAACCAGCAGCTGGAGGTGCTCCCACATGGTCAATACATCGTCGTGCGCAAACCGGGCGTTAAGATGGACGTCGACTTCGCTATTAAACTCAACTATGTGTAGTCTGTAGTCACCGTTGCCACGTATTAATGTTCTGTATCTACATGATTATGCACTCCTTAAAAATTGCTAATAAGATGCTTCAAGGAATCAGTTAATGATCTTTAGTGGCCTTTGATTAGTTTATTTTTTCCTTTCCATCCCCCAACTCGGACATTTGAGAAGTGCAACTCGAGTTGAGTGTAATTAATATTTAAATAAACATATTTTTTTTAATATGAATGCATTTTTTTTTATATATGATTAATAAAATATAGCAGAGAACGGCAAGGGTACAACCCAGACAATAAGTGCACCCGAATCATTTGTGCCTTTTCGGCACTCAGAGTGTGATCGGCACCCTAAAATAAGGGTGGGTGTCTTGCACAGCTCATTTCGAATGTGCACTTGCGCACCATGTACTCTTTTCCACAGACACCCAACACACTCATAGCAAATGAAGGGAGTGTCTGAGACACCCATGTTTTTGGGATGAGTGATTCGGGTGTCTTCAAATGATCTAAGTGTTTCGTGTGTCTTCAACTGATCTGAGTATTTCGGGTGTCTGAGGGTTGACCGAATAATTTTACATGAAAGGAAGGAAGGAAATCCTAATAATTTAACATAAATATAGCCCCTTAAAAAAGTAAAAATAATTTGTTTTCCGGTTCGATTAATTTTAATCTTAGAATACTATATTTGTAAGAATGAAAGTTTTTGCCGTCTTAAGGAACTAATATTAAAAAAATAAGAGCTTATAATCATTACAAGTGATTAGTCTTCAATGACAAAGTCTTACAAAACCAAAAAAAACTAACATTGCATCAATATTTTAGGATTTTCCGTGTCTTCATCAAGACATCTTATTACCGTTTTTTGCAGATGCGTATAAGAATACTTATCATAAGTCAATCGCACTGCGAATAGCAGGTAGATGACCTGACACGGAAAATCCTAAAATATTTGGCCTTTTTTAAGGGGCCATTATGGGGATTTCCTTCCCTCCTTTCATGTAAAATTATTCGGTCATCCCTAAATGACCTGCTCACGCAATACAGCTGAAGACACCCGAAACACTCAGATCAGTTGAAGACACCCGAATCACTCATCCCAAAAACATGGGTGTTTCAGACACTCCCTGTGTTTTGAGTGTCTGTGCATTAGAATCATGTGCATAGAATTGGGTGGGTGGCAAAAACGCAAACACACAAAACACCCTAAGCGATCTTTGCACTCGGGTGTGTGCTCTTTTCTTGCTGTTCGTGAGTGCGACAAACACTCGAAATGTACAAGTGTGATTCGGGTGCCGAAAAAAGACACCCTTGACGTTCTCTGATGTAGAAGTTAGACCTAGAATTAGGGCACATATCTCAACTGACGGCGTCATCACTACCCTTCTAAAACCTCAAACTTTAAATTTGTAATAAATTATAAGATGACATCAAATAGGTCAAACCACAATTTTCCGCAATTTGTGGGTGTGTCCGGATGCTGAAGGTAACAGGCGCCGCATCGGGCATTCCAAGAATCAGGATGCTAGGTGCAACCTTGGTTAAATAATATTTAAATATGATTATTCGAACTACACGATTTTATTTTATAAAACTTGGGCGTATTTATCATAAATATTACTTTCTGGTTTATAAATAATTCTTGGTTTATAATGCACTTAAATACAGATCTTTAGAAGAAAGACATACGAGGTGTGTTCAAAAAGTAAGGTGACTCTTCAAATTTCGCGAATTTCAAATTTTTCGATTATCGAAACCTTTTAGAAGTTATACGAGGTGTGTTCAAAAAGTAAGGTGACTTTTCAAATTTCAAATTTTTCAAATTTTTCGATTATCTTCAGTTTTGGGAACAAGAAAAAGTCACATGGGGCCAAATCCGGTGAATATGGTGGCATTATTGTGGTGTTGTTTTTGGCCAAAAAAATCCAAATCCTTTGATCCATATTTTTCGATAGCAAAAAATCGCCGAGCTCGCAAAATAACTTGTAACTTTACGCCTCTCACAACCAAACAAAAGAGGATGTTCCATTGAAACTTGGTACAGATGTTAGGGAAGAGTGTACCAATATAACAAAACAAAAAAATCGATAATCGAAAAATTTGAAATTCGCGAAATTTGAAGAGTCACCTTACTTTTTGAACACACCTCGTACTTATCAGAAAAGGAAATTCGAATAAATCTCAAAGTTCAGGTAAATACTGCAAATATACTACAAATTATGAGTTATTCAAAGTCCTTGCTTAAACTTATACCATTTTAAATCCAAAGTATCATTAAGCATTTATTCATTAAAAACCATATACAATAGAATCACTGAAATACTATGCCAAGTTCGTTTTACTGTTCTTATTAGTTTCATGTTCGGATGCTGGCAACATTATCAAAGTTATTTCAATTAAAATGTGGCCCCAAGTCGGAGGGGGAGAAATTGGGCTGTGGCGTCGCCTACTTGCTGACCTCTGAACCCCATGGCCTTAGATGAATTTTCATAAAAATTTTCATAACTTTTCGTTTTGGTTGAGCTTAAGAATGTTGTAAAAATATTTTTGCAGCTTGGCTAAAGTTCCCCTTCACTCGCACTTTCTTTCTGTGGTCATTTTGGCATACTCGTATATGGTACGCCCCTATGTTTATATTTAAGCATTTTAAGCTGATGTGGGGCTACCCATTCGGTCATATGAGCACTTGTATGGACGTCAGCAGATTTTCCAGCACCATAAGCATAATTATTATACCCGTTACTCGTAGAGTAAAAGGGTATACTAGATCCGTTGAAAAGTATGTAACAGGTAGAAGGAAGCGTTTCCAACCCTATAAAGTATATATATTCTTGATCAGGATCAATAGCGAAGTCGATTGAGGTATGTCTATCTGTCCGTCCGTCTGTCCGTATGAACTCTGAGATCTCAGAAACTATAAGAGATGCAGAGATTAACCATGAAGATTCTTGAGGTCCCTACGCAGCGCAAGTTTATTACAGCATCCTGCCACGCCCACAAAACCCGGAAAACCAAACATCAAAAATCGCGAAAAACTAAAATTGGTGGTACTATTATCCGGCCACACCCACCCATACGCCTACAAGGCTCAAAAGACGGTTTTCACATTTTCTAGAAACGCTGATATCTCGGTAAATATAAGAGATAGAATGTTTGGATTAAGCATGTAGGTTTTTACGATGATCCCAATGCAAATTGTTTTTTTCCGATCAAGCCACGCCCACCCTAACGCCCACATAACCCTGAAAACCAAACATGCAAAAATCTCGGGACCATAAAGAAGCTAGAAAATTGTGCTTAAGAATACGTATTAAAGAGATGCCACTGCAACATGCCCCAAATTTTCATCTGGCCATGCCCACTCTAACGTCCACAAGCCGCGGAAAACTGTGGCGTCTATAATATTATTATGAATGCCTTCGTTTGACCTTGTATAAATTATTTTTGTTAAAATCTAACGCTTTACCAAAGATTTTTCAAATCGGGACATTATTTCGCTATTTATGAAGAAATGTAGGACATAAGGTTTGTGCATCACTATCAGTTACTCAACATTCTTTCTCCGACAATAGGTGGCGCTTTGGGAATTTCCACTAGCAAAATGAATATTTTAAAATTGTGTAAAACAGTAACGGGTATCTTATAGTCGCGGCACTCGACTATAGCGTTTCCTCTTGTTTTTAATGTGCTCTGCAAGAATTTGAAAAGGGGCGAACGAGCGGGCCGAAAACCATAATAACAACAGGCACATCCTTGCCTTACGCTATTCCCATCGCCATCCCCGAAGAAACCGAGCACATTACATTGCGAAATTAGAAAATTAGCTTAGTTTTTAGGTTCCTCCTTCACGCCCCAATACTGGCACCATCTCAAAGAAAGCTAATAAGACACAGTAAAATGGTTTTCAAAATGGTTTTCTTCAGTGCAATTTTTACTGCTTGCAGTTTGTTATTAGTATTTTTACAGCTTTTCCGACCCTTTAATGTGTATTTTATCTTGGTCACAATTAATAACCGAACTGATTCAGAAAAGACATACTAATACTATAGTATAAACTATGAGATCTCGGGTAAAAAGATTTAGAAAGTTTGAAAAAAGCGTCAAATTCTAGAGATTCCTGCGATACTTTATTTATCAAATAATTGGTGACCCTTTATGAAAGGACCCATCTCGTTTTTCTGATCATTTCCCGATCCTTAAGGGTTGCCTAAATACGGACGGACCGGCATACGGTCTTGCCTAACCGGAGTTCTTGATCGGGACATATACTTATACCTATATATGTATGTATGAACTTTAAAGGGCCGGATATAGCACCATTTCTTACTGAAATTAAAATGCTTTCTGAAAACGAAATGAAAAAGAAAATTACATCATTATTGTTTACTAACTGCATTGTTCTGAATGGTTAAATTATAATTTCTTAAGCAATAAACCCTAAAAAACCCATAAAACTCTCCTAAAAAGTATTTAGTTCACTGCCAGGCATATACGTGTTAAATACATGTGCTTAGGCTTAGTGTAATATATGTTTTATTAGCTTTGGATTAGTGAAACCTTTCCCATTTCCTGCGTTTTGCGTTTTATTTTCTTCTGGCTCGACCTCTGTGGTGTTTTATTTTGGCCGAGTGCGGGCAGCTCTTGCGAGCGTAAAAATGCTAAGAAAAAAAGAAGAAGGGCGTAGTGAATGACAGAGAGGGATGAATGTGACTTACTGACGGACTGACTGACGACAGCACTTGGCTGACTTGCTGACTGTCAAGTTAAGTGTGGATGCACACACGTAGTGTGGACCACCTCCTTTTCCACCCACTTTCCAGCCTGCAAGGGTGAGGGTAGGGGCGTTAGTTTCGAAAGGACCTGCCGCAAAACACAGTAAAACGCGCGCATATTTATAACGAAATGCTCAATTTAAATTCCCATCAATCTTGGTCGAATGCCACACACACACACTTGCACTCGCACACAAACAGATGGGTACACGTTCAGGATTTGGATTTTGGGATTCCCCCTTCTACTCAGACAATTTTGTTAAGCACTGGAAAAAATATAAGGGTTTCTTACAGTTCAATTTGATGTTATAGATTGAGCCATAGATGGCGCTAGTAAAACTGTACAGGTCGTTGATTCCTTTTGGCATTACTGTTTTAAAAGTGGCTAACAGAGTAACGGGTATCTGTGTATCGCGGCTTGTTTTCTTATTATAGAAACTATTTTACTCAGAGTGAATTC